TAAATTAGTTTTTATCATATTGATGTATGATTTTAGGAATGTATTTGAATTTATTATTTTTAAAATTCAAAAAAAACGATTTAGAAAAATTTATTCGTTTTCTCTAATTCAACAAAAGTATTTAAAAATTTATGTTTGCTTAAAAAATTTTAAATTTTCTCTCCTTGTCATAAATACTTTAAGATAATTTGATTTACAATTCCTATGCAAGTCATTTGTACTTCATCCTTTTAAATTTCATTAGTTCTATTATTTCATTGAATTTTAAATTTAAAATCGATTTTGAACATCAATTGTATGCTCCATTACCGAATGCTTTTATTCAGAATTAATTCTCAAATGTTTGGAAATCGATGAATGAAATTGGAATAAGGAATTAATCGCGATTAATTTCTGTAATTAAGGAAGTATTATTTTCAATATGAAATGGTAAAATTATGACTTCGGAAAATGTAGATATATGTTGGAATCAATTGTTATCACGTGATCCACGTGAAAAGGTTAAGCAACAAATGACACATTTTTCATTGTCAATTTTTGCCAGTTATTTTTAATCTTTTATCTTATAATTTCCATTTTTTGTATTTTCAGTATTGCTAACAGAAATAACAAAAAGAAAGAATGCAACAAAATGTAAACGATAACTCTATTAAATGCTAATAAAAAACAAAAAAAAAAATTTGAACAAACAATTGCTGAAATAGCAGAACTGAGAAAGCATAGAAAATTATCAACACCATTTGTCATAATGTTCAAAAATTTTTTAATATCTTTTTTGTGCAAATTCATAAACAGTGCATTTCGGTTATTTGATCATTCAATAAAAAATAATAGCAATACATCAATGGTGATAATAGGAAGTGTATGAAGAAAAAATAAAAAATTATTTCAAGATTTATCAGATAAAAGATCTATAATACGTTAATTCTAATAAGTTAATCGAGGCAATGAATTGAAAAGATTAGATATAGAACTTAAGTAGAAAATGAAATTTTTGATTGCATACTTCTACAATATTGATTTTATGTATGAGAAATATTATTTCAAGAAAAAAAAGAAGTTCGTGTGCTACAAATTTCTTAGTGGTGTTGTATCTCTTGTGCCGGTAAATAAAAAATAAAAATGAATAAAGAATTTTGACAAAATTATTTGAACGCTCTAGTAAATAGCACGATGAATAGCTGCATTTCCTTCCAAATAATTTTTCTAACAGAATGAAAAAATGAAGCAAATAAAATTGCTTTTATTTAATCAAAAATATTTTTTGTGTAATAACGAAAAATGATTGGCTGCCAACAATTTTAATTGTATTTTGAAATTCTAGTAACATTTCGGGATTTCCTTTGAAAATAAAATAGTCAAAAATGTTTTTAAAAATCATATAATAAAAGAAAAAGTGTTGAGAAATAAAAATAAAAAACAGAAAAATTGCAATATTGCATAACAACAATACTCGAAATTCAAAGGGAATACCAAAAATTTCCTTTTTAAAATTTTATGACCATTTAAAAAGTTTTCAATATTATTTTTTTGAAATTAAAAAATCACTTTTAACTATCTCATATTTTGGCCTAGTCAAAGTTGTAGTGGAAGAGTTTGAAACAAATGAAATTCAAAGTTTTATCCAAAACGATTGCAATTTCTCAAATTATCAGCCTAAGAACGGACACTAAAGAAAAGATATGAAAAGAGTACAAACATAGAAATATGGCTTTGTTATTAATTTTCGTGAAATGTACAAAAAGTAAAAAAAAAGATGCCCTAACAAAGGGCATTTTTTTTATGTTTAAAATTCAAAATTGCTTCATAATCCTGTCTGCATTTGCAATTTGCTAAAATCTAATTATTTCTTAACAACTAATCCTTAAGCAATTTAAAATAATAATAGGACCCCTTAGTGAGAAAATTGATAAATATAAAAATATGAGCCCAGGCTAATAAATAAATCATCACTTGGATTATACGTCCTCTCAAACAGTAAATCTTCCGCTTCAGTAAATTCGTTTTATACATTAAACTTTAAACTATTTCCAAGGATTTTTTTTTTTTATTTCAGAATAACTATTTACTTCAGATTTCTGAAATTTTTCCTTTTTTAAATTCTCTAAGAAATGCCGCAGCTTCATTAAACTGTGTGATATTTTCTTTCAATAGTTGCAAAAATAAAAGAAAATAAAACATTAAAAATTAATATTTAAAAAGATGAAACAAAGTTATTACTGCTCACTTTAGTAAAACAAAGGGAAAAGATATGTTTCTCTTTCTCTTTTCTTCTCCCTCTCTCTCTCCCTCCCTGTCAGTCTTCCTCTTTTCATCTTCAAAAAATGAACAAATGACGCGGATCGCAAAAATAATTTTTTCAGATTTATGTGATTTTAGTATATTAACTGATTGGTTAAACAATTCAAATTCTTTTCATTTCAAACAGATGTCTGTCGAAAATGGTTTGCGGGCGATAATGAAAAGAAAGGGAAAGTGAAAAAAAAAGAAGATATGATTGAATAAATCATCAGGTAGTTTCCATCCTTATTCTAATGTTAAAGAAAGATAAATGATGGATGAGAAAGAACAAATTGAAATAAAAATTTTCTTTTTTAATGTAAATCATTTCTCAATATTTTGTTAAGCAAAAAATTCATTTTTAAAACTTAACAAATAAAAGTAATCGAATTGATAGTCATAAATTATTGTAATAATGCATTCTAAGATTTTCTTTAAAAAATTGAAAATTTTTAAAATTACGACAAAAAGCTTACCAGATAGGAATGAAGATTATGAAATTATCACTGAAAAAGCAAAAAAATTACCATTTTTTAAAATAATCAAGAAAAATTCAGTAACAATTAATTTACGCAGCGATACATTTATATCATAGTTTATCGTTGATTTTTTTTTTTTAAAATAAGATATATTATGGAAGAAAAAACTTGAACAAATAATTTAATAATTAGAAATTACAATTTGGATGGAAATATCTCACTTAAATGATTAAGAAAAATTCAAAAAATTTTTTTCTTCAAAATGGCAAAACAAATTATAGAATTGTTTGAACTTACGGGCTTCACATACATATACATGCGTGTATATATATATATTATCAGTGAGTTTGTGACAATTACTTGTCATCATTTTTTCTCTACGGTATACGGTACAGGAAAATTATGACAAGCGATTCCAAAGCTAAGTCAATAAAAGGCAAAAATTTCAGCATAAAAAAATAATTCGCAAACTTTTCCAGAAAAAAATTGCTGATGAAGCAAAATAATGCTTTCAAAATTGACAAGCATTTGTTACCAAAATATTCGAAATACATAAACTAAATCGCATTCTATAAACAAAATTTTTTACGATACTATAGTAATGCATATTGTGCAACAGCGATTAATATTCCAATTTTAAAAGAAATTGCGAATTTTAATTGGATCTAATTTTGTTGCATAAATAAAAAATTTTCTTTCATTCTTTTAAATGTAATTTCAGGTGTTCCTTCTGCTATTGTAATTTCTTTTGCTTATGAATTTGTTGAAATTTGAACAATTAAAGAGATTAGCTTGATGCTAATGGTTATTTTGGAATTGTAAATTAATGACATTACTAGATTATTTATATCATATTATGTATGCCTTTCGAAAATACAAAACTTTAAAAAGTCTCCGTTATAAAATTTACAGCTTCATTTTTGTAGTTGCTCAATATTTCATGACAGTATCTTACAGTATCTGATCAGTCTTATAATATCTTTTTATAAAGAAGATTTATTAACAGTTTATTTGGAAATAGTTCATGAGTTCATAGATTGAAAGAGAAACTTAAGTTTGTATTCATTAACTTATTTAACTATAAATTAGAAAGCTAAAAAGATTTTTTCCATTGCTATGAATCTTTATCAGCAGACATAACGCAGATTTTTTTTTTTTTAAATCTCCTAAATAATAAAATATTTAAGCTTACTGATTAATGATGAAAAATTTTTATAACAATAATTTTTTTTTTCATTTCACTTATTTTATTATCAAATGTTTATTTGCAATCAGTTATCGATTATATCAATAGGATTAAATTTAAAATTAAGTTCAATAATTCGAACGAAAAAGGAAATTTTTTGAATTATCAATTTTAATAAGTATTTAAGCTAAAAAATTTTTAATTTAACATTTTCAGTACAAAAGACATAACTTTTTGTTCATATAACTATTAACTAATCTTGAATGCGATATTTTCATAAGCGAAATGAGGACAACTTTTCCTCGATTTGGTTGGTGACAATTTAATAAGATGGGGACAAACTTTTCATAGCATATGTTATCGATAACATCTGGCATTGAATTTCACAGCGAGACCGGACTGAATGAATTGATGGGGGAAAGGATAGACTGAACTGGATTAGACTGTTTGCTGAGATGCTTGCGGAGAAATGATTACGAATTGAGAGAGGGTGAGATGTGTGAGTGGGGGAGTGATTGAATCGTTGAAGAGACGGTGAAGATTGCTCAGAAATGAGAAATAGCATTGTGGCAGGGATTGAGAGATTTTGCAAAAAATCACCGTGGTATTATTGTGGTAGTGATAGGGAGTGGAAAAGGTATCGTTAAGAGGTGGGGAAATAATATAGATAGAAAATAGCAAAGAATTGAAAGAACTGTTGAAGTATAAAGTTAAAAATTTGGCTGGCTGAGAGTGTATTTCAAATTTGTCGACGTTAAAATGTCATGCTTATTGTTCATTCTGGATGACATAAAGTCATTTTAAAATATTGAAATGTAACGAGTTTTCTAAAAATAATTTTGAGGAAAAAGAAAAAAAAAGTTTAGAAAAACTTTCAAAAATTAATTGAGAGAGTGGAATGTATAAAATGAAACTGTTGATATAAATTTAGTAAATGCTATCTGAATTTTGTTTTTTGAAGCAAAATCAATAGGTTTATTTGCTTTGTGTTCTTAGTTGTATGCAGCAATATTTTCCTTTTATTTTTCTATTAATTTTAGATCAAAAGGTAAGAAATGCATTTCGTAAAAAAAGTAGCAACAACAGAAGAGCAGCAAAAGAAGAAGGAGAAGGAAAAAGCTGAAAAGTTGAGAATTTATTGCAAAGTGAGGGATCAAATTGTTGAAAAATGGATGAGAGGTAATACCTTTTTATATATTTGATTAAATAATTTATATTATATTCCGGTCTGCTTAATTTTCTAAAAGGTATTGTCATTGTTTTACATATTCTTAATTTATTTATATGGAATTCATGGTTAGGTGAAATTTTTTTTATATTATAAAAAATGTTAGCGATGTATTTATTCCACTTTATTTTGTGCTGATCAGATAAGAGGGTACATGCTATTAAGTAGCCATTAACGAAAAGTTGAACTCCAACAGACAGATTAAAGCGATATTACTATACTGCTTGTTTTTGATTTTTTTCGAGTTGGAAATATTGCAAGTGAGGGATTTTTGAAAATTAGTTTCTGAATTTGTAATTGGTGTAGGATTTTCAAGTATTAAAAACACGCGTAATTTCCATATGAAGTCAATTTTTAATTCGAATTCTGGAGTTGTTTTCAATGAATTCAATGAACCCTTACAGGTGAGTTAGACGAGGAAATACTGTCATTAACTGCTATTTTGCTTGAAAAAAACCCGGAAGTTTATACATTTTGGAACATTCGTCGTCGAGTGATCAATTTATTGCTAAAGGTTGAAGAATTTTGCCGTTCACTTTTTTCCACACAGCTTAAAGCTTTTAAACTAGCGTTGATAACTTTGTTATTATGCAGATACAATAGGACAGAAGTTGTTTAGGGACATATAAAAAATGCCATACATTTGGTTTTTCTAAAACCTACACAGTTCTTTATTAAAATATTTGAAAAAATTTTTTTGAGATCTTCAGCAGGAGTATTTGTCAGCAAACGGGCAAGGCATAGTCTGAATACAGTTGATAAGTTATGTGAGTTATCAACTCACATAAAAATAATCGCAGTGTTAGGAAGATTATAATATTCTTTTTGCAGGAAATAAGTGGAATGAAAATAATGGTTAAATATAATGTAATAGAAAATCATTAAAGGAAATTAAATTTCGAATGCATGAAATAGTTTATTATTTACATTTACTTTCCTTTCAGAAATTAGAAGAAAGTGACGAAGAAAATACAGATAAAAAGGATAATATGCTCCGTTCGGAAATGCAATTAACAGAAGCTAGTTTAAAAGTATTTGTTTCACTTGTTAATCAATTTTTAGTTAATTCAGTAATTGCTACCCGCAATTTGTCATACAAAAAATTTGCATATATTATTTATGTTACTGACTGTGCAGATACTTTTGCTTTATAATTCTAGCGATTTTGAAGAATAAGATTGGAAATGTAGTTAGCTCATCTGTGAATCTGTAAGATTGCTATAAAATGTTGTAGAGGAAGCATCATTTAAACTGCAAAAAGAAAATATTACGAAGTGTTTTAGTTCTATTCACTACAACTAACTTTTGACCGTCTTTAAATATTCTACATTAAGACAAATTCCAAATCATATTGTGTATGGTTTCATCGCTTTTGGTGCTTCATGCGGCTGCCAAATCCAAATATATCGGAAGAATTAGCAGCTTGTGAAAAATTCCTGAACTTAGATGGCAGAAATTTCCATTGCTGGGACTATCGGCGAGAAGTAGTGAAATTTGGCGCTCATTCAGCTGAAGAAGAACTCAAGTAATGATTACAAATAGCATTCGAATCAGTGTATCTATTGAACATTTGATTAACAACTATTTAAATTAAATTGTTGGTTTTGATACATAGATTATTAGATATTTCCTTCTAAATATTTTCAAATTTCATGCCAATCACAATAAAATCAGGAGTTTTTAATTTTTTTCGGAAATAGATAAAAAAGAGGGGAAAGTTATCATCACTAATTAAATTATGCAGCATTCCATGTCTTAAATTTTTATATGTTTTGTTATTGATTTATTTTCGTCATTTAATCTCGAAATATAATTGATGATATTGCAGGCTTAAGAAATAATTTCTTAGTTTATTCAAATTTTAGATTTTCTGACAGATTGATCGATGCAAACTTCAGTAATTACTCCTCATGGCATTATCGTTCATCTCTTCTACCGTCTTTATTTCCTGATACTGAAAAACAACTAGTTGTAAAACGAGAGGCATTATATAATGAATATCGAGTATAACTTATTTTTTCATGGAGTCATTTTACAGTTCTTGTTAGACTGCTTATCTTGTACATCTCTTTATGTTAAATCCTGTTATAGATTCATCAGATATTGGTTTTCATCGGTGGTATAGATTAAAATAAATAATTAAAAATCTTCCACTATTAGGGTACTTTTATTGAACTTCATAGTAGCCCATTTAACGATTTTTCTAAGTCCGGTGAAGTTGTTTGATTGGGAGAGCCATTTAAATCGTATGTAGGCATGTTTTGGCCTGCTTCATTCCCCTCCTCTTTTCCAAAGCAGACGTTTCATATTTTAAAGCTCTTTTGCTTTGTACGTTTCATATTTTAAAGCTCACATCCTTCAACTTAAATTGTTTTTTTACATTTACAACAGTTAGTGTTTGTTACCTGTGCAAGCAACTCGCATTTTTTTCTCTCGATTTTTGCTTAAAAGATATCATGTAATTTGTTATTTGATAGTATTGTTGCTTTTATTAACTTTCATTGTTTTAAGAAACTGGAAAATGCGTTCTTTACGGATCCCGAGGATCAGAGTGCTTGGATATTTGCTGAATGGCTTTTGCTATCGGGCGAAAGGGAAAAGAAATGTAATTTTAACTATTATTTTATGGCTTCCTAGATTGGTATCATTTTGAATTCCTAACCGCAGAATATAACGCAATACTATCGAAATACTTTTCAATATTGATTTGGATTTATATGTTAATCAAAGTGCTTACTCTTATGTTTAATTTTCATTTATTCAACAAAATGGTAAAACAAAAAGAAAAACGCAGAGGATTAAATGTTAGGAAACATAAATAAGATACTGAAGATATATTTGGGAAACATATTGCATTTTCAAGATGATGTTGGTAATGTCCATTTATTGGGATTGGTATTCGATTTTGCGAGCGATTGTAATAAAACCGAATTCAATTTCATTCCCATCGAATGCAATCAAACCGCAGCTACCTATTTGTCAGTTACATTTGATCGTGCTGTAAAAGTAACGAGGATATCGGATTTTTTGGTTATAAAAATGAAAAATGGTGATCAGTGGACTCCCATTGCGGTACGTTGTTTGCAAATATTCATTTCCAAGTTTTCAGTTTTGGTTTATTGTTTTGAAATTTTATGAAGAAAAGTATTTTGTTTTTAATTGTCGTCTTTGATTTTTCTTCTTGCTTTTTTCAAATTTAGGGTTCTGAAATGAAAAGTCGTACAGCATTTCGTGCTAGAAATTCATATCGATTTGAAATCTCTGGCGAATTAGCCGAATGTCAGTTACGTCCTTCATTTGGTGAACCGTACCAGATTATCGATATGAAACAAGGATATGTTAATTTTGATGAAATTTATCATATCTATCATATTAAATGCAAGCCAATTAACGAAGGTCGAAAACAAATCATCGAGAAACTAATGGCTAATTGTCAGGAACTGCTTAAAGAGTTAAAAGTTGAACAGAAGAAGGAGATTTTGAAGGTATAATAATAGCTGTATTTTTTTAAAGCCTTCAGATTCTAGAATTGATGTTATGTTCCACTTATTTGATACATTTTGAAACTAAAATTCACCTTTTACTGAGTTTTGCTTAAATTTTAGTGTGCTGTAATTATTCACGTTTTTTTGGTGGTGCACAAAGCGATTCGATCGTTATTCATTCATTTTAGAAGTTTGAAGAAAACAAAACTCGTTCAAATTATCTTATGTGGTGGTTACATTAAGAGTCCCAGACTAAAGTTAATTATTGAAAAAATTAACTACAGACCATCATTATTATTTCGACATTCTTTTCTGCTTAAGTCAGAATTTACTACTAAAGTTTATATATCACGCTAAATAGATTTCTTTGCAGTGGCCGCTTCTTACGTATACCTTTGCGATCTTAGAATTAGAACCAATTGAAATGCTTTCAACAATTTTGGCGAACTTGGAGGAATTGGCTACAGATATTGATCCACAAAGATGCGAAATGTATGAAGAGATGGCTATGAATCTACGAATTAACGAAAGACTTCGTCAAAAGTTAGATGATGTGCAGAGGATTGACATTTTATTCAGACAAGTTAATGGTCATTTTGTTGGGGAATTGAGGCTGGATAATTTGGGTTTGAAAAGGTTTTTTTTTCTTGAAGTTTAACAATTTAAATAAACAATCTTTATCAGTGATCAGATTCGTTAGCTGAACAAATGACATAGAAATTAAGTAATTTTTGTAGTAAGATTGTTATGCAGATAAGTTATATGAATGCCTTGTTATAACTTTAAATAAGATCTGAATGTCTGAATTAGGATTGCAAAAGTTGTTTACCGTGCTAACATTAACCTCTTTTGTAGATTATTTACAATATTTCCTTAATGCGAATCATTTTTCGTGTTAAACGAAAAATTGTAAGTAATGTAAATAATTTTATCCAAAGTTTTTCCATAAGCTTCTCTGCTCATTCCATTTTTTACTTAATTCTTTTTGAAATTTAGATCAAGAGAACAGAAGTTATCCAATAGCAAACTGGTGGGAGTGGAAAATCTATAAAAAGAAAGTTGAAAAAAAGTTTTTTTTCATGTTTATATTGTTTTCTTAAATTGTGTTTTATGTTCTAGCATTGATCATTTAAAATATTTGTCGTCATTTATCACACGTCTGGATCTTACTAAGAACAGATTCACCAATTTCTGCAGTTTCAAATCTTTTCGACGTTTAACTCATTTACGACTTCTTGGAAATCCTATTATGAGGTTAGTTTTATAGCTTATTTCAATTCCAAAATTAGATTCTTTAATGCTGAAGGCGATATCCCACCATCCAGACCTATAATGTAATAAATGATATTTTGAATCTAGTTATTACTATAAAACAACTACTGATGTTGTCGCAATTCTCAAGCTGAATAATTCATAACTGGTCATATTTTGAAATGTTTGAAAAGTTGCAATCATCAATTACACTTGGTATTATTTGGTGCAAGTATATTTTCGTTATGGTATTAGTTACAGTTTAATTTGGCTATAGTTAATTAAATGCATCATTCTTTCAGTTATAAAGGTATCAGTATGTTGCCGCAGTTAGATTATCTGGGTGTTATTGAAATGTCTATGAATCTTTTGGATATTGAGGATAGTACTGCATTGGGAAAGATTAAATTGCTGGAATTTGAAGGGTCGGGAGAACCAGTCAGAATGTGGACGAAGTAATTCCTCTCAGATGTTGAGTAAATTATTTTTACTGTCAATATATGGTTGCTGAATGTTTCTGTTTCTTCATTTTCATTTTTATTTATTTTATGTTGCATACTTTTATTAACTTATTTTAGTGATGGGATTGAACAAAATGATTTCTTTGCGATTTGTCAAAAATAATCGTAATTTCGTCAAACAACCTTTTAAAAACTTAAGTAATTTTTATCATTATCTGTCGAAGTTTTTACCTCTTACGTTAGAAAAAATTGATTGTTTTTTGAGTTACTGAAAGAAATTGTAATATTAGAAGTTCTTGTGAAGAAAGTAGTTTCTATATTTATCAACTAAATAGGCAATGTTGAATTGAATGCATGTAATATTCACCAATAAGACATAAATGATAACGTGAGTTCTTGGATGATGAGATGTTGCACAGTTTTTTGATTGGCAGTGAAGACCAGTAACATACAAATAATGGTGATGAAACAGTTCTGATTTGCAATCACGTTTTTCCTCGGTAATAAAAGTTTCCCAACGATAAATCGATAGAAGTGTAATAATGATAAGGAATTTTTGGATCGTTTTTGTGAATTTTGCTAAGTATACACTTCAAGTTTTTATCTCCTTTAAAAACACGTGCAAATTGAAGTCTTTCATGCTCGAGAACGAGCTTGAAATCTGAAGCGGTTATTTGATTATTTTTATCAGTTTTAGTTATATCTAACTTTTGAAAATTTTCGATAAATTATCAAATTGTATTTTTTATTTGATTTCATTGTATTATAATTGCATAAAATAATATATTATGATTTGTTGTGCCACCGGTTACGTCATTCTTATCAAGCAAAATTTGTAGCTTCAATAATTTGAATAATTATTTTTTCAACGTAGCAAAATTGATAAATAACAATTCTTGAGGACATTAAAAATAAACAAGATTGATGAAGAGAGAACTATGGATGGAGCAATTAGAAGTGAAAAGGAGGAGGCTTTTATGAGTACCCGGTAGGTGTAATCATGGTAGAGTTTGAGGGAAGGAATCGATTCAGGGTGGAGAAGGCGTTGATCGACTAGATCATAGAACAGGTTTGTATTCCATTAAAGGAGGACGCAGTCTAAATTGGGTGATACTGCTTCGCCAATTGCTGCATTCATTTTCATGCTATTGTTTACTCAACTCTTCTATTCTCTTGTTTCTTTTACTTGTCACCATTTTAACTCTAATTTGCATTGTCTAGCTACTCTAATAACAACTCAAGCTAAATATAAAATTCGGCAATCAATTTCACTTTCGGAAATCTCAATTCAAATAGCCACAATATTTGTTCGTTTATTTTTGCTGAATCATCTGATCAGCTAGATCAAATCATTTGGAAAAAAAAAACTCAAATCATTTGATCAAAGATTAAACCATGATCGATCAAATCAGATGATTCAACGTTCAATTTATTACTTGGGGCTTTTTGATTGCACGAACCACCATATGACTACATCACTATCAGAAGAGATGCTTGTCGGATTGGACATATGTGATATTTCCGGCTAAATTATTGGATTTGTAATTTCACAGGTTCGTAGTCATTACAAAAAAAAGTTAATTGATACTGTTGAATGGAAAAAAGAAATTTTTTTCATTTCGAATTATTAGCATATTTAGGAAATATTTTCATAAAATTTTCCAAATACATTCTGCTCTGCTGATTCAAATCTTTCATATAATTAATAATATGCAAAATATTTACAATCAATCTTTTCTTTATCCTTTAATTGCTTACATGAAAATGAAAAATTTCGCATATTCTCCTTTTAATTTTAGTACGTTAAAAAATAGTATTGTGAGATGTTTATTGAAAAAAAGAAAACCAAATAACTGCAAAATAACCAAAGTTCTTCACTTATTCATGCATTAATTTCGTTCGATGAAAGATTGCGTTAAATTAGTTCAATTTATACATACATGATAAAAATAGATCTGCAATAAATATCTACCATTATAATTAATGTATGTATAAATTGTAGTATCTCGATCAACGATCAGATAGATGGATTGCTCAAGAATTGTTCGAAGAGTTATGCAAATATTGACAATAATATAATTCATATCTAAAACCATTATAACAAAAAAAAAAATTCATTTTCTATTCTTAAAATTTATACATCATTGTTGAAAAATATTTGTCGAAACTCGCTATTAAAAGAGTTTCAAATTTCAATGTTAGATTTAAAAAAAAAAAATGAAAGCTTCTAAACTATTTAAAGAAAACAAAACAACAATATGAAAAAAATACTTCACTTGCGGAAGGCGAAGAAATTTTTGATAGTATTGAATGATTTGATAAAACTTTTGTGAAGCAAAATAATTGATAGAAATTTGCTGAGAATTGAAATGCATTTAAAACTGCTTGAAGAATGACGAGCTCTCCTCATCTTCTTCATATTATCAAAAATTTGAAAAACTTCCTTCACCTTCCGCAATCCCATTAAATCATGATTTATTCAGTTTTAAAATTGTCGTTTTGAAAGATGGCATTTCCTACTGTTGTTTCAATCTGGTAAAAATCAAAGGTCAACAATCGAAGGTGCTCCACATTCTGGTCTATTTTTATCACATTTCGTTTGCGACGATCATTTTTTTTTTTCTTCGTTTCTGTTTTTTCCTCTTTCATTGCCACCGGTTTCATCGATGTACTTGCATGTTACGGTGTTCAATCGGATGTGTATTTAAATTAAGGAGTAAATTTCAACGATCAAAATTGTTATGTTTAATTAATTAGCATCTATATCCATTTTTAAATTTTTTATAAAGGAACAAAATGCCGAAACAAGAATTTGAATTCATTGATTATCTCGGACCATTAGCTGTATCCGTATGCTTTGTTGTAGCACTGTTTATTTTATCAGCTATTATTAATTTCATTTGGATAACGAAAAATGATGATCGGACAGTTTTTGAAAAGGTTTTTCTTTTTTAACTGAATTTATGAATTACATTCTTATTTAGCATAAAAAAAATTTTGCTATTACTGTGTAGTAAAATTCAATACATTCAATTCATATCTTCACACGATATTATCATAGTCATATCAAATTCATGTAAAATGATATTCACAGTGTTAAATTACAAACGATTTACCGAGAAAAGTAAATATTTTCTATTACGAGATAAGAATAAATTTAAATAATTAGCATTTTAATAATTACAGTTTGGCTCAACTTTCGATATTCGATGTGGCGTGCATCGAATGCGGCATAGGCCAAATAAGGTAAACAACTTTTTTTTTTTAAAATTCATCATTATTTATCAATAGGATAGTTTATTTGATTAGAATCTTATTTTATCGATGTGCAAATTTGATAAAACAAAGATTTAATGAATTCAGAGAAACATTTCAAAACGGAATACCCAACAATTTAAAAATTCATTCATTCTTTCAGTCATGGAAACGAGTTCAATTAATTGGTAATGAAGATGTATAAAAAAAAAACAAGGCTCAAATATTTTCAAGATAAAGAGCAGTAATTATAACTGGAAATAATAATACCTCAATTGATATCATTACGATTTACATAGATTGATCAATTATTACTGCCTATTTTCTTCGCTTATTTTGTGGCTTTTTTTCTGCAATTATTTAAAACATCATTAAATGGTGCAAAATTAAGTGAAATCATGTTTTATTTACGTGAAACATATGCTCTGCAATATGAAAATGATATATATAACTTTCAATTCGGGTTTTTTTTTCTTTCTTTTTTTGTTTCAATTTATTGCAGAAGCATAAAATATCATCTCCAATTATCCACCTATCTAAGCACTTAACTACTATTATGTTACTCCAAATTATTCCATTTTACATTTTTATTTTGATTGTTTTATTTTCTGCTTCTTTTGCTTTCTAGAAAGCAAGATTTAATTTTGTAAATTCAAAATGATTGCAAGTTTAATACTGTTTTCATTTATGTGTAATGAAGAATTATACTGTACTTTCTTCAATTATTCATTTATCTAAGCACTTAACTACTATTATAACTCAAATTATTTCATTTTACATTTTTATTTTGATTACTTTATTCTCTGCTTCTTTTGTTTTCTAGGAAGTAAAATTTAATTTTGTAAATTCAAAATAATTGCAAGTTTGATACTACTTTCATTTATGTGTAATGATGACTTATACTGTACTATACATTACTATATTACTGTGATCATTTTTCACTAAAAGCAATTTAGTATATTTACAATTATTACAACAGGTATGATGGATAATATTTCGAATATAATCATTGAAAATCATCATTGTCACCATTTGACAACATTAATAATTATTGTAATCGGCAATTACCACTCCTTATTCATTTGATGATTAGCAGTAAGTTGTATGTACTTCATGGAAAATTTGCTATAAAGATACTTGAATTGTTTTGTGTATTAACATTATTTTCTTGTGTTCAATTTTTCTTTAAAAAAAAAGCAACTTAAATGCATCAATTTAAACCATAGTTCAAAGGAATGACTTTGGACGAAATTTGAAGTAAATAAAATAAATACAATTTTTGAAACTAAAATGTTTTTATATCATTTCAATTTACTTCTAAATAATAATAAATAAGTGGATCGAAAAATGGATGGTAATATGAAGAAATTAAATTCGATAAGCAAATGAAACAAGTGAAAATAAATGAACAATAATCAAACAATTATAGGAATAAGTTATTTTTGAAGTTTTAAATTTATACAAATGCAATTAAACTTTGTGGGCTGTAACGTAATAAGAGAGTATCTGAGGAGCTTAAACAGATGTTGCTCAATGTGACAGTTATTTCAATCATATTAAAAATTGTCAGAAGTTCTGAATTCCTTTCTCGGCTACCCTAAAGGATCGGTAGTAAAAGTATATAAATTCCAAAAGATATTATCAACAACATCGTAAATAATTGGTAGCACTAAGGTAAAACTCAAATATGGAACTTTTGTTTTTGTTTTTAAAAAAAAGAGCTTTGAAAATTTTTAACTTGAGTTTATAGAATGGCAATCATGCAATCAGTAAAAAATAGCATTTCCAAACTCCTAAAATTTATGACTTACAACTGCGAAATAAAGCAGATTGAATTTTATTTTTCATCAGAATCTAATTGCGATGAAACGTCAAAATGAAACAAGGTAAGTTTCAAAAAAAAGACCAACACGTTCACATTAGTTCCTTGGACAAAATTAAACAAGGAGGAAAACTTCCTAATTCTATTAGTACAATTTGAAAATCGTCCTTATTATTAAACCTTTCTTGAATCTACAAGTCCTCCTTCTATTGTTTTTCGCAGACGGATTGCTAACATCTTTACTTCAATTATGTAGCGTAAGACATTATTTAATTCATATCTTTAAATTTCAATTAAACCGCAACTTCTTAAATTTATTGGACACATCTCAACCTCCGCAATAAGGAGTTTTAAAGTGGAATGGAAGATGAAATTCAAAACACTTAAAAACGCTTAAAGAGAAACAAGTAAAAAATATCTGAGATAAAACATATAAAAAAGGGTAACAAAAAACAAATAAAAAGTATCTGAGATAAGCTTTAAAAGGGAAAATCATATAATATAAACTTTCGATGCAACCAATAAAAAAAACGAGAGCAAAACGGAAAAGAAATGACTTGCTTTCCTAATACATGATATGAATTTAAATTAAGCATTTAATGAACCGTATACACTGGTGTCACAGGAATGATAATCGCAGCCTTCAAAGTCAATACGTTAAAATTCCCGGATCTAAGTTAAAATTAAAATAAGACACAATGATCAAATAAGAAACAAATGGGCAATACAAAACAACATGTTAAGAAATGATAATATAGTTTGCACGGTGTAATAAACAGAAATATACAAGATGAATAGATTTGCTAGTTAATTCTTGCCAGTTAGTCACACAAAACGGAATTCGACGGGTTATCTCAAAAAGCACGACAAGTTCTACTGCTTCTATTACAATTAATGCATTAAACTTCAAAGAACTTCTTGCTGTGGCTAACTTGCTGCTAATCCTTTTTCAAAAAGGCAAATGAAATTTTTAATATCCTAATCTAGAACAGTATAAAGACTAGCAGTAAACACGATATCTCTTTTAATAGCTGCCGAGGTATCGTCCATTTTCTCGTACAATGCAGGATCACCAATTAATCTTGCGGCATTTCGTATATCGCGACATAATTCATCCAACCTTTGTATGCAACGCACAATTAAACCTTCCTGTGCATCCGTTAGCTGCATTATGTCAGCGAATGGCTGAAAATACCATTAACTTAAATTATGGCATCAAATATGATGTTATAGTCGGTGGAGTAAAATGCGAATTCGTGCAGTGATTAGCTGTCACGAAGAAATCCAAGATACAGACAAAGTGACATTAAGATGGAAAAAACTTAACTTATTTCAAGTAGATGAAGATAATTAACTGTAACACATTAGCTAACAAAATTAGGTGAAATGGATTCACAATAGCCTGAGCAATAAGTGAATAAGGAACTTTTTTCGAAACCTTAGCATCACGAATTTACATGAGAAATAAGAAACGTCGAAGAATTATAGAGTTTTGTTTATGCGAGACAAATGAGATTCCTGACAATATTAAATAATTATCTAGCAAAAAGCCTGATGCTTTATTCGTTCATAAGTTTCAAAAAGCCAAGAGCAAAAACAAGTTTTGACATGGAAAGTCAATACTACTAATTTTATGTCCTAAGACCCTAATAAACTTCCAGAAAAAAACCGAAAATACAAAATAACAGACTGAAATGAAAAATTCTGGAATTTTACCATTGAATTGGCCCATTCATAAACGGCATGCATCAAATCAAAGCTCAATTCTTCAGAAATGTCAACATCATTTACACCACATTCCCGTTGGATTCTTTCAATTCTGTTACACACTTCAATGATGTCATCTTTCAACTAAAAAAATGAAAATCTTCCAACTGGTAAGAAACTACTACAAGTTCTTCCAAAAATCATTTCAAATTTTGTATTCTTTTCAGCCATTCATTACTACACTGTTTCTCCTTCTCTTTAAATTCCAAATTATGACTCATCCAACATCAGGGGAAAAATTTCCCCTATCTGGCATTTGTAATCATGTTTGCCTAAGTAACTTTATACATATATCATAAATGAGTAAAAAAAAATAATACCTCCTTTAATACTGCTGGCGCTTGCACGACTTCACCGTCTATGTCTTTTCTGCATTCACCTTCCCTTGATTTATGCTGACATGTGGTTACCGAAAGCATAGCTGCTATTTCTGCAGCTGAACGATGGTGGAATTTGTTGTCTAGCATCAACTCCGTAATCAGTAATTCCTGAAAATAGTTTTATAACATATTTCAATTTTTCATTACTGATCTGATAAAATTATTTAGAATTAAAAAAAAAAAAACTTCGTGGGAGGAAATTAGCATAAAACGGAAATCAATCTACACAACTTTTATAGCACAGTATTAAAAGATCTTTGAAATGAGAAATGGAAAGCAGAAATGAAAATGGCATCATACCTGGTGATGTATCTCACAAGCCACACGACCTTTCAAAGAAACCAAATTTGAATCATCAATGTAATTCAATTGGCGTAAAGTCTAAAAATATTCAGAGATGAATTGCTGAAGAAATGAAAAGATTACTAAACTTAGTTAAATATGTAAATATTACTTTGATACGATCATAGTAATTCTGTGAAAGGAGTAAACCACCAGTTGACAATTTTAAACGGAGTTCATCGCATTTCGTTTGCAGGCTCCTTTTATCATGTATATACATGAACTAAAATTTGACAAAAAGTAAATTTATCTTTTGCCAAAAAAGAATCAATCAAACTGCACTTATAATGTAGTCTGATTTAAAAGACTTCAATTTACTCTATTAACGCATCAAACACTATATTTAAAAAATTTTCAACTTAAAATCACGGAAAACAAATAAAGTAAAAAATTCATGAATTAAAATGAAAAAAAAAATCAAAATGGCAGAGCGATGCACAATTTACGAAAAAAGGCTTGCATTTTTAAGTGCTTCTATGAATTTAAAATTTCTGATGATCAACTCACATGTTCTCGAAATAGTGAACACTGTCGACAATGAAAAGTTGCATCATTTATGAGAAAGCTGCGGAAATCATTCAAAGAAAGCAATTTTTGAAATACATCAACATCGTTCACTTTTATGTCTTGCCCCGGTAATTTGATATTTCCCTTTTTCGTGCTATCCCAATTTGCTACTACATTATCAATTTCGCTAATTATTTTCAGAATCCCTTGATCCGGTGATTTAGTCCTACAAATGAAATGAAATGATACAATCTATATTCCTATAACTACCAATGATTTAACAATAAGAGGCAAAAATCGAGAACTAACTGTACTTTTTCAAATTGAATATCCATAGCATGTTCAGCAAAAGAGAATTTCAATTAGTAAAACTTATAAGTGAGAAGAAAAAAGATCTACCGATGATTCTGGTGATTTCTTGCTTTCACATCTTCTATGACAGTTAGTGGATCAATTTTTATAGCTTTTTGACAAATTGCTACCAAACGATCAAGTGGTATATTATCTAAGACAGTGCCTATTCTTCGTACATAATTTGAGAATTTTTGTGGTGGTAAACCTTCAAGACCGTAAAATGCTGCATATTGCAATAAGCTTGTTTCATAGATTTCTTGTTGTTTCTGAAAAAAAAACACTAATTACACTTCTCAAACATATCTCATGGTATCACGAAATATATCTCATGATAAAAAGAGGCGGGTAAAAATAAGGACTGTAACCTCTCGCGGCATTCGCGTGAAACGATCTATTTCTCGCTTTTCCCGTTCCGCAACCTGCTGGTCATCTTCTATCGATAGCAATAAAGTCATTTTCTTTGAATTTCCATCTGTTGTTATCTTGAATAACTATTTTCTTTGTAAAACTATCGACGGAAGTTAAAAAGAAAAAAAGAAGAAAGAGGGAATAAAAAATTTACCATAGGAACTTCTCTCGTAAAGTTGGACAAAAAAGGCCAATCAACTCCTAACATCAAGAATTACAAACAGCAAGATTCATGAGCAATCCTCCATTTCAGGATAATTTAACGCCTTTCAATGAAGTATTTACAAACCTTAAGAAGCACTGCCACAGTAGCAATTCGTTCAGTCTCTGGCAAACAAACGATAATTAAACGTCCCGGTGATAGCAATTTATCTACAATCGAAAATCGAATCAATTCGGGCCATAATTCAGCTCGAGATTGTAGAAATATCTTTAAGTTCTCATAATAATCAATAATTGAACGGCGTTCGACAGGAAAACATGCTGTACAATTAAAATCTTCTTTTGATGCTAACAGTTTCTCTATCTGAAATCTCAATTTTACAAAATACATTAATAATTTTTGATTGCATCAAGTACTAAATATTCACTAAATCGCAATAAGTTAAAATTTCAGATCTCTTTTGAGGATGATTAGCACCCAAAAGAGATCTGAAATTTTAGCAAGGTTTTGGTATGAATTAGTACTTATAAAATTTCACCAGTGTTTATTCACACTACATTTAAAATCTCGCTCACACTGATCAAAAATTTAGTTCTAAATTAGATTTATCCACAAGAACATGTAATTATTAGGTTTATGTGCTTCTCCTGATTCACCTCTTTCAAGCGTGTTTTTTGTGTCAGTGCTAATCTGAGTGATGCACTCTCAACGTAGCTTCTCCTTAATACATCCTCCACACTCAAATGCTCTACTCGCAACAAATTGAGAAGCATCGAGTACGTTACTCTAAATCGTGACTCCAATTTTGTTGGTTTGCCCTGAAATGACTGAATTCAGAGCAAAAAAAAAACCTACATTATTTATATTATAGTAAAAGAAATTCTAGTTTTTTTTAAATTATTTTATCTGAAAAGTACGAAAACCTCACCTGCATACAATTGACTAAGTCAAGATAATCGGGAATAAAAGGTCCTTTACATAAAACAATTACGGTGCCAGTAGCGTCTAGGCCTCGTCGCCCAGCTCGACCAGCCATCTAAAAAATCATCGTCAATGATCACTTTACCAAGCTCTCTGTTCAAAAAAAGAACTCTAATTAATAGAAATACTAAAAAAATAAAAAATTAGATTGAAATAAAAAAATAAAAAAATAAAAAAATTTTCCATAAAACATAGGAATGAATATTCTCAGTTTCCTTGAACATTTAGAACAAATATCATGCCTTGCTTCAACACTACCACATTACTGCCACACAAAAGAAATTTGGAAAAATAAAACCGATAGAATACTTGAATATATTCTCCAGGATTTAACAAACGCAATTGCCGGCCATCGTGTTTCTGCAAAGAGTCGAAAATCACCGTCCGAGCGGGCATATTGATACCCATCGCAAAAGTTTCAGTAGCAAACAACACCTGCAATACTTGCCTTAAACTATTAATCATCAGCTATTTATAACTAACGTATTTCGAAAAAAAGATTTCATGATATAAATTTCAGCAAATTTATTTTCGTTTATATTGCGAAAATAAATACCTTAACTAGTCCTTTTTGAAATAGCAGTTCGACGACTTCTTTTAGGATTGGTAAAATACCACTGTGATGTATTGCAAAACCATGTTTGCATAATTCTTTCATTTGTAGTACCTAGGAATATTTGAAAATTCGCATGAGATTGAATTAAATTTCCAATAATTTGCAATCACGCTAAAATCAATTAAAACATCGCTGAAAAATTTCTGGACGATCTAATTCAATAAATGAATTGGGAAAACAATTTGTCGAATAAGCAGAAATGCAGGTGTTATCGTGCTATTAAGGGTGACATCGCAACATCAAAACAAAGATATTATCACAATATCGGGAAGGAAGAAAAAATTAGCTGCATTCCAAAGCCTCTTAATTCCTATTTTTCATTTTATCGGTCTTCAAAATTTATCATCTACCGGAAACAAAGCAGTTATACGCAAATTAATAAGAGATCGTACATGTAATCAACTACGGAAGTGACTCATAACAGAATTTAGAATATTTTGGTTGTGCCGCTTGAAAGCGCCGCGTTCGATGACCAAGTGCTGAAATGTTCCTAATAGAATAGGTTGCAAAACTAACCTGAGGTAGATTCTTGTCGGAACCTTTCAAGCGCGCAATACATCTTGAAAAGAAATGATGTATACTGGATTTCTCCTTCTCTGTAGTCAAATCAACTGATCGCAGCAAATACGCATTATCATCACATCTTCATGGTAATTATTCGTTAATGAATATTAAATTTAAAATAACTTTAAATGAAAAAGAATAATAGTGACCACTTGAAAATTTCAGCCACTTTATTTCTGGATTGATGTTATGATTTGACTCCAAAACACCTGAGCAAATTCAATCATCTCCAAAAAGAATATAATGAAATAGTAGCATTTTTATTTATTCGCTTTTTCGTATTTGTAATAAACAAAAAAGTCAAACCTTCGTCTAGAAAAAACAAAAATAATGACTGGTAACATGTTTTGCATGCGGAGATGATCGATAACGGTAGTGTAAACGTTCTTATCCTACAAATATCAGAATATGAAAACAAAACGAAAAAAAAAGAATATGAAAACAAAAAAGATTGTACAAAATTCAACTTTAAAAGAGAACAAAAGACGAAAACCTAAATCGAATCGAGGGTATTATAACAATTCTTCAAATTACTTAAAATTTTATTATTTGGTCGATATCCAACAGGTCCCACGTTCGCATTTGATTTACGTATATTTGCTTTTGCTGCACTTGCGAGAGAGTACCTTCAAAATGTATTGATAAACAATAAATTTTTTCAAAAAAAATTAATCAATCATGCTAATGTGGTAGAAAAGGGAACTGTACAATATGCTTCATCCGATTCAAGAAACATTTTTTCTATAATTCACTGTCAAGATTTTCGAATCACAATGTTAAGCTAATAAACCTATTAAATGTGACGGTATTACCTAAAATAGTGAATAGCTTTCAATTAGTCTCATGCAGCATGCTGAACAGAGTCATCCACCGATTCAAACCATCATTTTCGCATTTTAAATATGTTCTAAGTACAGAAATGATGACTTGGATGACTGACTCTACTTGTGATTCAAATGATTCGATCGGAGTGCGAACAATATTTAATGCAAGATCAAAATATAAATCCGTAAAATGAATTCAAATCCATACCCTTTTTGCACAAACTGTCCATCGCTGTCGATAATTTTAAACATATCCTTTTTAGTTTTACCATCTTGTCCAGTATATAAAAAGTGTTCCAGTGGAACAGGACGCCGCGCAGTCATAATCACATAAATCTGTTTTTTTTTAATGCGGCTGAAATCTTTATATCAGAAGTAAAACGAAAATGAGATTGAAAAACATTATTTTTCGATTGATCGAAAATTTATCGACAATTTTTTAACTAGATTCGCTTCAGCCTTTTTTTCGTCAGCTGGTAAAGAAACTAAATAAAAACGATTAGGAAAAGATCGAACTCTAATATAATAAAAAACAAGAACTTACCCAACCCAATCAGCAAACTCAACACAATTAGGAACGGTAGCACTTAACATAACAATTTTTGCATGAGCTGGTAACATAATTAGCACTTCCTCCCAAACATGTCCGCGCTAAAATATTACAAATAAATATATTACAAACAACAAAAATAGCTTTCTATCATATCTAAATGGCATATCTTGCAACGAAGAAGTGAAAACAATTAAACGATATCAGTAGCTAACACAAAATTCATGTTTAGAAGTTTCAAGGCGATCATATCTACGATGACCTAATGAGTAAATGTAACGAAAGAAATATTTTGATGGTCTTACAATGAATATAATTTAAGAAAAAATATCTGAATACCCTTATTTACTTTTGTTCTAACAGAGATCAATGCAATACAGCATTCACGAATTTCACATACATTTCTGTAGGAAATAATATAAACGGCTTCATATAAACAAACCTCCGCATCATTGATATAATGTACTTCATCAAAAATGACCCATTCCAATTCGCGAATAACTTCCGATCCATTATAAAGCATAGATCTGAAGAGCAACCAAAATCATAATTTTTTTTAAAAACTAACAAAAATAGATTCAAATCCTTTATAGTTTTCCAAACAAAGTTATATTACGGTGGAGCAGAATCAAAGCGAGCAGTGATATTCCATATAAGTTATGTAGATTAATTTCCAAAATGAGATATAAAAAATAAAATGTCTGTCCTTTTCACAATTATTTAAGAAAATTAAAACCAACCTTAAAACTTCTGTTGTCATTATAAGACAAAAAGCTTCCGGATGCAATTGTATATCACCCGTTATGAGACCAACATCCTCAAAAATGAGCTTAAATTCGCGAAATTTTTGATTTGAAAGGGCTTTTATCGGTGATGTATATATTGCCCTGAAGAAAGTCGAAATTTATATTTATGACAATATAAAGTAATAATTCAAACCACTCTTTTCCGGTTTACTACAATAAAATCATAGGTGTTTCAAGTTACTTACACATCTAAATAAAATAATTTGAGGATCATGAACACCGTGACTTCCTGAGAAGAAGTAACGATCCTTTATTTCTACTAGCCTACTGCTTCATCACATTACATAACTCATAAATCTCCAAAGTGGAAAAATAAAGTTAAGTACTTATGCTCCGCAGAAAAAAATAGAACAATTAAATCTAATTTTCTTTTTTTTCATTATAACCGTCTACAATCTAATTAATTTTGCCTGGTTTTATGCAAATTGCACAAGGCAACAGCATATTCAGCAACAACAGTTTTACCGGCCGAAGTATGAGCGGCAACGAACACAGAATCGCCACGATCTAAACATACAACCGCCTGTTGTTGGAATGGATCCAATTCAAATGGATACTAAAATGCAAAATTTATTACGGAATATAACGAACGATAGATTTATACCAGCAGTAAGGCTAGCATTTTTCATCCATTCTATACTGCTTTATTTATGCAGCTAATAATAAACAGGAATTTACTGAAAGAGAATTACAGAACCAGCTGTGACGATTACTTAATCTATGCAAAAACTAGATACCGATTATTATAACTGCTTTACTACGAAAAAAATCAAATAAAACTTAAAACTTTCTGAACTAAAGGAAAATAAAATTTATGCTTTTCACCTTTCTTGCCATATTACTTTTCAGTATTTCATAATCGTCAACATTTTTTGATGTATTCAAGACATGAGCATAAGAATATTCTCTATTTTGTACTTGTAGTTCATTTTTTCCACTTGATGAAGATTCAACTTCTTCTGCTGTGATCACCAATTGCTAAAGAAAAGCAAATTGTTACTAAAATACAATACACTGCATCTCTTTTGAAATTAAAATTATTGTGATCGTCAATTTCCATTTTCGCTATATAATTATTAAATTGGTTTATACGTTGCTTAACAGAATCAAACATTCGATTTATTGTCAATGAGAAACAATCTACATTATTATTTGGTCTGGCTGACACTATTTTCCAATTTTAAAACATTTCGATAATATCCTTTTTCCTTAGAAGTAAAATAACTGTTAGAAAAATAATTCCTTTTAGCACCAATTATGAAACTTATAAACTATAATACGATTGAAAATTTTGATTTTAATGTGTTGGTAGCACTCAAAACGTGAATTGCATTAAACTTCACTGACTGTGTAAAATTTTAAGGAAAATTACACTGATTTTCTATAAAGTTTGGAACATTTTGGAGCTCTTATTCGACGGTTTTCCTCCAAAATGAGTATAGTCTCTTTACAAACAGCTCAGTAAAAATCCAAAAGTCTTGCCTCAAATTCTTTATCCAATTCTTTCTCAATTTCCGATTTCATACATGACTCCTTTGTGCCTTCAGAATCATCTTCAACCACTCTTGAGGAACTAGCCAGATTGCTGATATTCACAGATTCTACCAAATCAGCCAAATTATTATCAGCAAAATGAAGGCTGCTTTGAGGGAAATCATGAATGTCATCTTCAGTGAGACCATTAACATTCATTCCAGGAATGCAGAAGAGCAATTCTGATGTAGAGCACTCTGTAAAATAAAATAAAAAAGTACGAACATTAAAACATGTTTCAGATATAAAAAAAGTTTCCTAATATATTTTTAAATTGACATTTTAAATTTCCAGCTTCAGCAAATGAAGTAGTCCTAATCGGATCCACTTTTTCTCCTTTCGGTATCACAACGGAAGGTCTGAAATTCTCGCTTCTGTTTTTCAGTTGGTTGGAAGATTCCGAAATCCGGAAGCAAAATAAGGATTTAATTTTTGGCCGTAAAAGAAAATTTCAACAGAAAGCTATATTTAAAAAAAATGAATCTAACCGGAAATTCCAAAACAATTTTAAAATGACAATAATATTCTAGGAACTTTGCAAAACTTGCCATCAAAACGCAGATATGCTTCTTCATCCAAGTTTTCATCTATTGTAATACCAGTATCATTCGAACGAAGTACATTTTCGATTTCCTCATCGAAACCGCCTGAAGATATAAGAAATTTAAGACGAATACAGAAATCTTTATGAATGTCACTGTGATAATATAAGAATGAAAATAATAAAGCAAATAAGAATCTTGAGTACCGTAACCCACGGTGAAGAAAACAATAATTCGTAAATAGAAATATATCAGCTTTATTTTTAAGCCACTTCGTCATTTACTTCTGTGATCGTAGCAATTAATACTAAAAGACGAAACACTTACCGGGCATAAAAGGAATGTTGCTTGCAGAACCCATAAAATTTGAAGCACTTTTTGGATCTGGAGACCTAAAGTTCATTCGAATAATAACTAAGCCAGCACAAAGTATTTTTCCCTCCTTCCCGACTTATCTCTCTTCTTTTTAACCAATTCTTTTCCTTGTTTCTTGACATTAGAAAAAGAAATTCTTAAATCTCCAATGAATTTAAAGCGCGAAAAGATTTATGAATTAAATCAATGTTCGTATGTCCGACTATTTTTCACGCATTCCCTTCATTACCAAATGAAAAAAAAGACAATCTTTATAATTTCGCGCTTTAAAAGTCCACTATCTCTAAATTCATCTGGTCATGTTTTTATATAGACGTATCTAACCTAGTAAGAGACATTGATGTTTTTGCATCACCAGCTTCAGTATTTCTATCATTCAACATTTCGATATAACCAGTAACCTCGCCTGACTTTATATCTCGCAAAGCTTGTATTTCTAATGTTGTACTTGAATTCTGCAGTACTTGGTCTTTTAGGCATACAATATCTGATGACGGTTGCTGTATTCTAAAATGTTATTAAATTATTTACTTGCAATGATAATAAAATAACTTGCTGCATAAGAAGAACTAACTCTAAAAAAATGAATGCAGCAATTAAAGTGACCATATTCTTCTAGGAATCGGCTGATTTATATGATCATAGGTAATGGAAGTGTAACAAAATAACTTAGATTAAAGAAAACCTAAAATGAACTGTCGTTTCAAAAATGAATATGGTTAAATATTGTCAAACTATTAAAGATACCGTGTTATTTATGGTAGTAAAATAATAAAGTGCATGAATATGACTACAAGTGCACGTTTATGACATTACTTATCAATACAGTTAATTCAACAGCTAAACTGATATTGTTTAAAAGTGAAATGAAAATAAAAAAAATCTGTTGTCTTTGCAATAATGCTCCATGAATGTGCTTATAATATATTTTTCAAGACTTGGTAAGTTCAATTTATCACAAAAACATCAAAATTAGAGTAAACAGTCAGAGTAAAGAGTCCTGTGATTCGCATAGTCAGACTTTTTCCAGTAAGACAATACTCATCCATCTATGTCCAGCATACACAAGTAGCACCATTTTTTTACTGAATTTTCAGACTGTGTCTTAATAATAGGACGAAATTAAATTCAACATGTTAACAAGTTACCATTTGCTGAATTTTCAGGCTATATCTTAATAATATGATAAAACTAGGTTTAAGATACTAACAAGTTATTTCTTAAAATTTCTGATAAAGACACAAATGTGAAAAACGTAATGATAGATAAATTCTTGCAACACCTAAATTCTAAGAAAAATAATCGGTTACCTGTATGTTTCTGAAATACCATACTTTTTGACACATTCCGTAATTAATTTCAATGCATCATTCCGGAAAACAGATTCTGCCTCCAAATGAATCTCTTTCTCCAACATTTTCGCATCTTCCTTATACTGATCGTTACTCGTTGACTTCTGATTCTCCGAGCAACGCTCACAATTTTTAAGCCATATATCCAAGTTCATCCCGAACTATCTCAATTTTATTTAACAAATCTGAAATCAATTTTATTCTAAATTCAATGTTGCATGATAAGATGAAAAGTTACTACTATTTAAGTATCATTAGAAATTTCAATTTCGCAATTTCAGTTGGTGATCAAGAATTTTAAGATATTATTTTTCCTATATTTTACTGCAAATTTATATTCGTATAACATTTCTCTCGTGATAAATGTAATTTTTGTCTGAATTAATCTTTGTTTGAAAATTTTTGCTTGAATTGAATTAATTAAAGCATTACTTGAATTACGGATTATCACAAAGTCTCAATGATTCCTTTCGAAAAAAAATTTACGGACCATAAAAAAGAAATAGTATAGATAGTAATTGATTTAATGAAAATATAGCAATCATAAAAATCATTTTTTGTAATTTTAAGTTTTCGATGTTTAATTAAGAATTAAAAAATTTCGGGTATTGTTTAATTAAGAATTAAAAAATTTCGGGTATTCTGATTGTTAAGCATAGTTTTTAAAATTTAACAATAATTCACTCCTACTTTCTCAACATTATCCTGAGATTTATCGTGCAGCTCCAACCATTCTGATTAAAAATCACTCTATTAAACTTCGTAAACAATTCCGAGAAAAAATCACCCAAACCAACGGGAAAAAAAACTGGCTCGGTTAGAACTTTAATGAGAAATGCGCCACGCCCTTCTGTGCGTGTCACTCCGCCCCCACTATCATTTTTTGACTTTTTTCGAAAAGCTCCCTCACCTGCTTGCTTCAATCATTCCCACTTTTTTACATTTTCCTTTATGACAATCCTCTCATTTTTCCAATAACTCTATCATATGGGAAGCTAATTTTAATGATGAACAGGTGAGTTAAAGAGTTAAAGATTGATTCATTGATTCATATCTAACCTTGAATCAATTATCTAACAATTTGTTATTTGTTAGTTATTCTAAATTTAGCTGAAATTTCAAACTCATTGCTAACACCAGTTTTACTGGAGATATTTAGAAGAAATGAAGGTAAAACTGTAGAAATTTTATAAAATAATTTTGGAAATGAAATTTCGAATATATAACATTTATTTATTTGTTTCGTTTCTTCTTCTTCTTCTTCTTCTCATTCTTCTATTTTGCGTACTATCGAACTAAAAATGTCTAAACTAAAATTTATTATTTATCTAATACTTTTTAAATATTTAATTTATATTGAGCAAGCAAATATTCATTATATGTACAAGCTGAAATTAATTGAGAAACGTCATTTTTGATATCAATTTATTCATTAACAATCAACTTCGCTGTCATATTCTCAGTGAAAAATCCTTCATCACCATTGATATTTAAGCTATCAGTAACGATAATCTAACCAATGATCTAACCAAAGAATATGCTACTTATAAAGTTATTTGTTAGAAGCAGCTAAAAAATAGTATTGTATTTCAAATTTTATCAAAAATCAAAATTGTTGTATAGTTAAATTTTCTATCCAAATAATCGTGTACTCTACCTGCTTGTTTAGCTATACACCTTGCACTGGAATTTTATAGGTCAACAGCTCCTTTTTTTAAAATTTCATTTAATGCGGAAACAGGGTATTTTCATTGCAGAAGTGGAGAAGTTCAACGATATATCGGCAGAGGAATGATCTGATAGATGGAAATAAATGTGCATATCTAATTGCCAATTATCATATGTTCAGCAAAATACACGAATACCGTCCGATCCAAAAGTGCAAAAGTTCACATCCATTTGATGTGAAAATCTTTTTCGGCGGTAAAAATTTCAGAATTCAATTTCCTTTGCAATTTAAACTAATTTACATAATTCATATTGGTATTATTTGCATGAATTACTGTAATGCATATTAGCAGAGTCACTCTTCAAATGCTCCGAAACGTACGAAACATGCACAGTTATCTTCGGATCCTCTCCATCGACAGTAAGTATTCTGAAAAATCAATAAAGCACAAGTGGAAAAGTTTAGATGATAAAATATAACAGAAAAATTCATATCATAATTTACTTGAAAACAGCTATAAACATCATTTTATACATATTAAAATTGTTTCGAATACCACATCCATTGTGTTTTATTCGTCATAATTCATTTTAAAAACAATAAAAATCAATAGAGTAATTTAAAAAATTATAGGAATTGGCAAAATTATAGAAAAAAATTTTTGTAAAACCAATTTACCTTTTCACCTATTCATCTATTAGGAATGATATTACAGAAATTAGCATTTCCGAAGTAGTATTTTCTTTTTTAGTTTTCATTTCTTGCACATTGGAAAAATCAAAATCGGGGAGTGCATGAGGAAAATCAAACAAGCTAAGAATCTGCAAATATGCATTCAATAACTTTTAGGTAAGCTAAATGTATTTCTGTAGTGATTTTTGTGACAGATTGTTAATAAGCATTATTTCTTGTCATTTGAACTATCACGAATGTACATTTCTGACAAATTGCTAAAGTGCAAATGTACTTTAAAAGCATTGTAAAGTGGGATGGATTTTTGATTTATTTTCAATCCGGTAATAGGAATTAATATCAAATAATAATTGATCATTGTTTGCAAAAATAAGATATAAAGTGTAAGTGTAAAAAAGTATTCTGAAAAAAAAAAACACTAAATTTTCGTAGCATATTTATAAAAGCATACTGATCCAGTGGTGTATTTTTCTTGTTTTTAAATTAACGAAGTATCATTTGAACGATACATGGAAATTCAAAATATATTCAAATAGCTAAAAGGCTATCTTTATTATCCGATTCTTCTACAATTAAATCTGCCAGTGTAAGAATTTCAGTTTTTAATTTCATTCGAACTTTTATCGAAATTACTATTGTCAGAAATGACGAAAATATCGTATAAAACAAATTTAGCAATTATTTTTTTGATTTTTTTTAAATTTAATAATATATTATCCTGCATTTAATTTGGTTTTTTCTTCTAATTTCATAATATATTACCTTTCATTTAGGTAAAGAGTAAAAGTGCTCATAACTACTAGTTTATTGTTTTTGCACGTTCTCTTCGTGGAACTAATTAGAAAATAATTCTTTCAAAATTTTTTTTAAAATTAGTTTTATGAAAGGAGTGTGCAAAATCATTTTACCTTTATATGTCAATGGTACTTCAATCTCTTTCTTTTTAATGCATAATCTCAAAAATATTTTCCTTTCCCTATTGAATCCACATTGACTTCAGATTTTATCAGGTAAAAGTTGTTATTATCACTCTTGCGAGATTGTTAAATGAATGTATTACTGGATATGATATAATATAATTTCAGTTAGTTAAATGGTAGAAAAATAGATTAAAATTCAATTTCACTCATAAATTTGATAAAAAAGAATGAAAAATCACACGCAACTCGATCCTGATATTGCTAACTTTGCATTCGCCTTACCGGTATATCATTTGCATATATTAAATTTATCATTTCATTAATTGCTCATTAAAAAAGAAAAATTCAGAAATTTTAGCTAAACTTATGAGCCAAAATATTCCTCAACTATGAAATATCCGTAAAATCTCTCAAATCTTTTCACAAGCTAATAGATTGTTTTTTCTTTTTTTTTTTTGTTATTCCTTTCTTCATATAAAATTTATTCTGAATTCAAATAATCGATTATATGCCACAAACATCTATCCCGAGATTTTTTTCTATTTCAGCTAGGAATTCTCGGACTACTGGCATTTGGGATATCTCTCCATATCGTTCAGAAATCACCGCGCTATCATAATGTATTTGGAATTTTATTCATCACTTATGTCTCATTTCATATCCAAACCACGACTGTCTTAACCCTCTGGACACTTACCAGAATTATTGTGTAAGCTACAAGCTTACTAAATAATATTCTAATGGCTAATTTGTTGTCTACAGCATTGCTTATATTCTTTTCTTTTTAAAGATTAACAAGTATTAATCAGTTTGAAAAAGAAAAAAAAAATGATATCAGTTCCTGCTGGATATTTGTTAATCATGATTGATAGTCAATTATTGATATGTTAATTAATTAAGCTCAATGGCTAACATATCAATAAATTCTTTCAACTTAATGTAACTTTTTTCTTCTCTCTCTGCTTACATTGTAAGCTATGCGAAATTTAGAAGAAATATGGAATTGACATCATTTCCATGGATTAATTTCCGTCGGATATCATCTCCTCTTGCTAATTCCACGTTATATGCGGCTATTTGGTTACAGCTAATTTTGGCAATTAATCGCTTTTGCGCAATTTCATATCCAATAATATATCCTCGTATATTTAATCGAAGAAATGCATGGATGACAGTCATATCATTGTGGTCATGCAGTACATTAATTGCTGCGCTTTATTATAACAGTACTTTCATTTAATCATTTATCAGTGAGATAAAATTGATTATTTTATATTGTCTTCTTTTTTTGCATATAACTATAGGATAAGTTGCTTTTATTTAATATCCATTTAATATTTTCAATTTAAAAAAAAAAATTTTTTTCTACCTAATAGTTGAATGCGCGAATTACTTCGAAACACGTATTCATTCATGGTCCACTCTGTATGGACCGTGTAATCACGCTTTCTACGCTTACATTGCTACTTTCCTCTCCGATGTTATCATCTTTATTAGTGCTGTCATTGATGCTATTGCTTTTTATCGTATTATTACTTACTTAAAAGTATGTTTTTATTTTGCATTCGCCAAATTATGCATAATTATTTTACTAAGATATTAAAAAATTTCGAAATTTCAACTTTTTGATAATATTGCTTTGATTTATTTCAACATCTCAAAAATTTCCTATTTCAGTGATTAATTATTTCGTTAAAACTCTCTTATATAACTGAATTTGATGTGAGATTTTGTTTGCCTCAACATTATTATTCTTAATTTGTACTAAACGTAATTGTAGGCAAAAGAATGTCGTGGAAATAATGCAGCACAGCAAAGATGTAAACATGAAATCGTATTTTTCAAAGAGGTAAAAAAAATAAATTCGATTCTTTTTACATATAGAATTTAAATTTATGATTTTCAATATAATTTTTTACAGAAAGAATTTGAAAAGTGTTAATGTCACTGAAATGATATAGCATATTTTACTTCACATTAAGTTTTATATTTCTTTCATTAATGCTACTAAGTGCATTCCATAATATTTAATAGCATTTGATAGAATACATTTCAGACGTGCGTCAGTACTGCAATACATGCAATTTTTGCTGCTATATTTCGTATTGATATACCTGTATCTCGTTTGACTAAAATTACCTATGTCTGGCTTTCAATACTCACATTAGATGGGTAAGTACAATCTTGAAAAAATAAAATGAATATCAAAATATAAATTATATGTTATGATTTCAATGAAGTTAAAAAGTGAAGCTGCATGATGTCAACTATCAATTCAAGATTTAAGAAACATATAAACTTTATTAGCTAGCAAAACCTATTTGAAAACTTTTCATTTCTCTAAAAATTTGGTTTATTTTTGGGCTGTTTAAAATTCTATTAATCAATGTTTCTCCAAATGTGATGAGATTTTCCAGCAATAAAATAAAATAAATAATAATTTGTTATTAAATTTCAATTTTAGTTTGGCATTCGTATACTTCAATCATCGTGTTTTGACTAAACAAAATGCAGTTGGCTTTCATATAAGTACAATGGGCTTACAAACAAAAACAGTGAGAAATGACGTGAATGCAGCAACTTAAATAATCTTAATTAGCGATGAAAATAATACAAATTAATGCTTAATTAAAAATTAAATAATGGTGGTAAAAACAGCTGTTGTAATTTATGGTCTCGTTTCTATTGACAATTTCATCTGCTGAATACCAGTATGGATAGTATAAAGGCCATTTGATCGTTATTTGTTTAAATTTCCAATCGGTTATATATTGCAAAATAAATCTCTTTTAAATAATTAGTTAAGAAAAATGGGAATAAATTTGATTTTTTTTTGAAATTAATTTTCAAATTATTGAAAAGATCTACTAATGCATCATATAATTCTTTCTCTAAAATATTTGCTATCATTATGCTTGTTTGTTGCACATTTGAAATATTGATAATGTAATAGCCATCAATAAGTAACATATTGCAAAATAAACCTCTATTAAAATGCACAAATTTCTCTACGGTTAAATTTTATACTTAATTTTTATCTCAAATATATTTTTTCAAGTATCCAAAGCATTAACCAATTCTAATTTCAAATATTAAAGAGATACTGCTTCATATTCACCCATTCTCATTCTCTAACTGAAATATTTCAAATTTATAAAGTAATTCTTGCAGAATATCGCATTTTAAAAATATTTTAAGAGGTAAATGAAATTAAGAAATTGATAGAATGCATCGTCGTCGGATTCCGTCTTCTTTCTTCTTCGCATTAGAAGATGCATTTTGAAGCATTTCCATGTATGTTTTATTTTTTGCAGAAAATACATTTGTAACTTTTACTAAACACAAATTTTTGCAAATCATTTTTTTCATCATTCATGACTTTTCCATATGTTTATGAAAGCTTTATTAATTGCTTCATGAAATTCCTTTAAAAGTGTATTTGATAATGAATGCATTTTCATGTATGCTTTTTCTTTGTAGAAAACACATTGTTACTTTTACATAACTAAGAATTTGCACGGATTAAATGTAAAATTTGCACCTTTCGTAGGTTTTTTTTTTATTGGTAAGAATAAAAAAAATTCAAAAATTTTCAGTTTCGGCTTTTGCAATTTTTTCAGCCTCTCTGGGTATTTGATTGTTCGTTTAAATTTATTTTGCTATTTTCTACTCACGAACACACACACACACACACACACACACACACACACACACACACACACACACACACACATACACACATACACGCATACACATACACATATATACATATACACACACGCACGTACACATACATATACATACAGTCACACATATACGCATGCGCACATACTCGGGCCTATTCACAAGAAATATGTGTGCAAATTAAAAAACGGTATTAATTTATGTATAATTGTGTATTATCAAATGTAATAAAAACAAATTTTGAGTAATATTAATTTGTCGTAAACATGCATTTTTACATTAACTTATTACAAATACAATTTGAGTAAATATATATCAGAATTGAAGAATAATGGCGAAATTCATACAATTTTTGACTTTTACTTTTATCTCGAAAAGATTGTCCGAAACAGCTCGAGTGGTTGCTAGACATCGTAAAGCCTTTATACATTTTACATTGTTTGTTTGTTTGTTTTTTGGTTTTTGAAATTCCAATAAGATAAAAAAAAAATATTATTTGAATGGATCAAACTGTATCCATGAAATTACTCCTTCGATTGCAAAATTTTCTAGCTATTTAGACACCCATTATTTGCAATATTGTATATTATTCCAAACTTGACAGCAATATAGTTATGCTTGCATTCTCTTCCTCTCTCCCTTCCTCCTTCTCTGTCTCTCTTTCTTTCTCGAAAATCATTTCATGTTTATTGCTAAGTGCGCAAAATCAACATCTCCACCCCTTCCCCCCTCTCTCTGTTTAGCATATATATTCGTTTAACAATTACTACCGTATCATTCTTTAATTAAACTCTTCGCAAACATGTTGGATCATAGGAACTATGACATCTTTAGGATTTTAAATTTTAAAAAAGTGTTTTTAAATTGTATATTAAACGTATTTATTGATAGAATTCGAAAAGCAATGAAATTTACATAATGCTTGTATATGCTAAAATTTGACCTCATAACACACAATTTGCCTGTCAATATCCTACAAAGCAATATATTGACATATTGATTGATTCCATTATTCAAATGGATTTGAAAAAGATCATAACTTTTATATCTCATCGATGATTAATAATGTAAAATAGGATGAACGAGTAAAAATTATGCATGGATAATGTTTAAAGGAATTGTCATAACTTAAAATATCATTTACAAATTATTTATTCCCATTGAATTGTTAAATTAAACATCCAATTCCCAATTTAAAAATCCAATTTCCAGAGTTCTGCAACGATGGTCCCGTTTCGTGCATCGTTGCATGTGATCGGGATGCTACCCATTTCCTTGCATTAAAATTGGCGCATTTGAGTGGGGAGGGCTGTGGGTTGTTTGAATTGTTCGTTTCTCTCT